CAATTAAAGAAAAGCTTTCTTTTACTTCTTCCTTGATTTCATCCCATCGACATTTTATGATAATTTATATTTAGACGTTCTAGACGTGAGAACTCCAGGCAACACCGGGCAGTATAAATTAATATATTATGAGCATAATCCACAAAAATATCGTCGAAACTTTAAATTGGCACTATCAGTTTCTGTTCAATCATTGAGTTCAAGCAGCGAATAGCGCGATTTAAGAAAAGGATTGCTACTAAAACCATAATTCTTCGTATTTTCAATTTTTATAACTTATATTAAAAAAACAATGTTCTAAATCTCATTGTGCGATTTTTTTATATCGATAATCGATGAAATCGATTCAAGAATTAATATAATCGATTCAAGAATTAACAAGTCACGCATCCTTAGTTACGTTCTCGTGCTTCTTCGTCGCTCATACCTCTTTGGTATCCTTGTCCGTGCTGAGACACGCGTGGATAACCCTGGTGCGCGGATTCCTGGTGCTGCGCTGCGCCTCGAAGAAGCTCTTAGGCTCGGTGAGTATCAGGACACCGCGCCAGCTCAGATTGGCTTCCAGCCAAGCGGTGCTGGAGATCGCACCTATCTGAAAGAACGACGGCGGCTGTGCTCGGTGACAGATTTACGAGGCCGGCCGCGTAATCGCGATAGAAATCGCGAGATAAATCGAGTGCATCTCCGCAGTCTAATTTTCTTCGTTCCTCGCCGCCAATAACACGAAGATAAATCGGCGAGCGAACAGATATGGCGCTCCTACCTATCCTCTTGCCGGTTTGTATTTTTAACTCATCGCGTGTCGGAGGCAATTTGCTAGTTTTGCGTGCGCGGTGCCTTCATCGGTGTTACGCTGTGCACTATCATGAACGATAAAGAATCGTTACCGCAATTATTTGATATCTAATTCCGAGCTTTTAAAGCTATTGAAGCCTCGTCGTTGACACACTTCAATCTAATCTTCAATTCAGAGCTCGGGAAACCGCAAACGAGAGAACGTACGATAAAGTTCACATCAAAAGAGCTCCGACTCTAAATTCATTGAAGACTACGCTTACGTGTCAGTCAGATAACGTGTATAGATCCCACTTACAGAGTGAAATTATCTGGAAAACGTTAATCCCTTAAAAGTAGAAAGTTACGAGAAATAATTTACGTGGCTCAGCACTTTTACGCTTAAAATCGCATACAGTGCAGCGATGTGAGTTCTTTTCTCGAGAACAAAGGTTCATCCAATGTACAAATTCCATGCAAAATGAAATTATCTAGAAAATTCTATTTTTTCATACGTAGGAAATTACAGACGAGGGAGAGAAAGGACGCAGCTGAAACGTTTTCAAGTTTAATCGCGTGTGATATAATGATGCGAATTCTTTTTCCAAGAAGAAAAGTTGGTCTAATGTACGAAAAAAGTTCCGTGCAAAGTGAAATTATCTAGAAAATTTTATTGTCTTAAACATACAGAGAAAATTGTGATAGTAAAATTGATGTAGCTGAAACATCTTAAGTTTAATCGCGTTCGATGCAATGATACGAATTGTTCTCAAAAAACATTTTTCTCGAAAAACGTCTCGCGTCGAGGATTCTGTTCCCCGATAGTTGAGTACTTTTGTACAACTTATACATTATACAAATTGCTCCTCGTAGTCTGTAAAAAGCTATCACAGTTTCACAAATAAAGAAACATCACGGCATCACCGCGGAAGAAATGGAATTTCCAAGCACGGTGACGCCGCGAAACATTAATCCTAATCGGGAATTAAAACGGAAGAATTTCTCACCCTGCTGATGTATTCTGCATAGACTCCCTCGCGCTTGCTCTGTGATAAAGTGGCTACGTATTTCTCCTCCAACGTTTGCGTGGCGTTCAACGGATCCTGATGCGTCGTGGGTTTCAAGTGCACCTGCCGTATGTAAGCGACCAATTGCGGATTATCCATCGAAACACTGTCGAGCACGTAGTCCCTGGTCATGTTCGCATCGAACGCCTGCCTCCTAGTAACGGAACGTCGGCTTTAAGCTACATCACCAGTGGTATTCAACCTCTCCCTGTCGTCTAATCCGCGCCTCGATCACGTAATCCTCTCGTGGGAACAAAAGAAACACCAAAAAAAAAACGACAAGTGCGAACGTTCGCACGAACTGACCGAACGCGAAATTGCGATTTGCATTAGTGGTGGACTGGAATCGCGAGGCTCCTCTCGCAGAACCAGATAATTAGATGCAAATGACATTGTTTTTGATATAATATAAGGTTTGCTCATTTTATAAAAATTCAACGTGTGCATATTACGTAACGTCCCAAAAATGGATTTTCGTCTCATTTGCAAAAATAGGTTGCATATTTAATTTTTTGTTTTTACCCAGAAAGTAGAAATTAATATTTAATGTCAGGTCATATGAAATATTCAGGCTATTACGGTCATTCTTTTGTTCAGATATTTTATTTAATCTAAGTATAAAATATAAACTAAAACAAAAGTAGAAAATACGTTGAATAGAACAAATAGAATTTGTTTTAATCTCTCACTTACAATCGCTTTATTTATTCGGGAAATCGGAATAAATCTCAATTAAATCCCAAAAAATATTCTATAGTTGGAATAAGAATGAAATTCTCAATTGGGGTATCCTAATACGATACATCTATTTAGATATCACACCCAATAAGTTTTGGTAATTTGATCGAAATCTATACAGTATTAGGGAATATTTAGAAAATTTCCGTGCGATTTTGGAAAATCAGACCGTATCCGAATTCGATTCCAAGAAATTTTGTGGCGAACGTTGTCCATCACGCATTGCTAATCGCGCGAGCTATCGTTCTTACAATTTTACTCGTCCGGATACTTGGGGAAATTTCGAATAATCTCGAGATCGCGGAGAATTCTTGTTTTTCCTTTATTAAAGAATACACTCAATTTTTATGTGACTTAGGGATTGATAAAAAGGTGTCACCTCAGAGCAGCGGCTTCACTCCAAACGAGTAGTAAAGCCATGGCGATGGAAAAAGCTCCAAGGAAAGCCAAGCAGGGGGCCACTCCTCTCCACCAAGTTCTCTTATAGCTGGCCAACGACGATCCGGTCATGACAGATCCTATAGGCGGTGGTAGAACTCCATTTGACGAAGGCGCTCCTGCGGGAGTCATTCTGCGAGAACAAAACAAACGTGTAAACATGAGTTCCATGCAAATCACGGAAATGAGGCACACTAGCGAGTTTGATTTCTAATGAGTTTTTGGCGTAACGTGTTCTACACGTTTCTCACGAAGGTGTTTGTTGACACGAAGGTATGAACTTCGTACGGATAGACGAAGTTACTAACAATATTTAACTCAGGAATAACCTAACCTAACCTAGATCATTTTGGCCATATTATGTATCGGTACATATACAGAGTATACTGTAATATGTGTAAACTACTTTAGGATGCTAAAAGCAAAACTACTTTAGGATACTAAAACCAAAACTACTTTAGGCATCCCATAATATGTGAAAACTACTTTAAAAATAAATTTAGCTCTATAAAATAATTAAAAAATTGCTGAAACATACGTCTTATTTATCCTTGTTTCCGAGTTATAGGCAATTTATCTTCTGACCTATACCTATGCTACTTTCACAAGAGATGTTGAAAATGACATCTCAATGCAAGTCTATAAACGTTTTGTTATTCATCTTTTTATTCTGTTTATACATCCAAATGTTATTCAAATTTAGTGGAAACCTTGCACAATTCTAAATTTCTTTAGCCGAGATTCCATCCGAAATATTTCAAATCTATGCTAAATCAATAAAAAATGGTTCGAATCTCGGCCAAACCGCGAAATTATTCGTATAAATAATTTTTTTTTCAACTTTTTACATATTTCGTTTAAACATTTTATTATTTATATAAATAATTTTACACATTTGACTTCATATTCATAATTAGCAAACCAAAAATGTCTATATCTTGTGTTCAATTTTATTTCTTATGCATTCTTGTTGCACTTATTGATGATAGGAATGAGAACATTAAAAAGCTATAAACTGCACTGAAAGAAAGCGGGGTGTAACCCCGGCTAGGTTAACTTGTTAGTCAAATTCTCGTATTTAGTTCCCGATTAAACAAGTTCAAACGATCGAACGGTTTCTCAACTAGTTAAAAATGATGAGAAGAAGGCGAGAAAAAGGTCGAAGTATCAATGGAAATTAACGGGTATCACCAGGATGGAACATCACTTAGTATCTTAATCAGTAACTTAATTACTAACTGGTAAAAACCCCCATTTCGCGATTGATTCGCATCGCGGATTTCTATGTAAAAGAAACTTAATTGAGGCCGCTGTGGAAGCAAACTTAATTTAAAGTTTAAATGAACGCGGTGCGTCGTGAAATTTTAAAAAATTGCAAAAGATTACAACTCCATCGCCCGGCGATTTAGCCAAGAAGGTGAGTCGACATGAATCGTACACCGGGAAATCCGTGATCAAGAAGAGGTTGTATAGGTGTTCTGGGACACCCTGTGCAGCAAGGCATGGAGGTATACGCATGAGTCACCCTGCGCACTTTCTAACCAACATTTTTTCTCAGTCACGTTCGAGCGAATGCACACGTAGGGATTCGACACAAAGGAAGACCCTCACGGATCAGGTAAATACTAGTTTGTTATCTATCACAGAGATCAGCTGCTGCAACTACTCCGTAGAATTTATGTTCTGTTATATGTCGTTCGACATGTTCCTCTTTTTTATTATTAGTTCGAGGTAATTTTTTATTTTTAATTATTGATCGATGAACGGCACGTCGTCGAAAAGAATTCTAATTTCAAGCAATGGAGATATACGGAGAGATCCAGTCCAGAAAAAGATAGATAAGTATAGAACACGGTGAAAAAGGTTTAGTAAATTAATGTAACAATGAACGAATCAAATGCGTTTTAGTTGAAAGAAATGGAATTTTTAAAGCCAAATTCTGAACCAGACATATTGTGTTTCTAAGACCCAAAGTTTTGAAAGAAACAGAATTTCAGTGATTCAAAATTTGGTTCTAAAAATTAGAAATTCTGTTTTCATTAGAATTTCTTATTCAAAGTTTCAATTTCAGAAGAGAATTATTAGTTCTTACGAACCAAATTCGCGGTTCTTGAGAACCAGAAATTCTATTTCCTTCAACCAAGATGCGTTTGATTCGCTTATTGTTACGTTCATTTTCCCAATCTTTTTTCTCCGTGTCGACAGTTCAATTTATCGAGGGAGAGAGAGAAAGGGAGTGATAGCTTTAGAAAAAGTTATAAAAATAGTTTCCTATCTCGCGCGCTAGGCAGCGGGTTGCGTGCGTCACGCTGCGCAGAATAATTCCGTTATTTGTCTTACGTTGTTAAAGCACGGTTTGCTCTGTTATATCGGCATAAATTGTGCACCACTTGAGACATCGCGCAAGGTGCGTCCCAGCATATTCAGTGACAACTTTTAGTGGATGCAAAGCAAGGCAAATGCTCGCCGTTAAATTCACTTGCCAGAGTTGAGACAAACCTTGTTCTAACCTCCTTCTGTAGAATATTTCGCGTACTCCATAAATACTGAAGAATGATGAATACATTCATTCATGGATTTCCCGATAAATGTAGAATCATTCGTTCTTTAACGAATATCTCGAAATGTATCAACAGGTTCCGATGAAAGTTGTTGGAAACGAAGAGAAACTTTTCGCGAATGTCGTTTTATTCGTGCCGCAAATCACAACTGCCGAATCTTCCCTCCTTGCGCATCTTATACGTTTTTCTTTCATCTTTCAGCGAATTTGAATAAAAATTTAATTCCAAGCTTAGATATATTTTTTAACACGTTGACTGCCATGATGGTTAATAGTGACCGACGCTATAATATTGTCACGTCTCACTGATTTATGTATAAAACGTAACCAACTGATATGCAACAAATTAAATATCAAAGATAGCTAATAAAGAGTCAACGAAACACACACGAATAAATGCATTACAAATTTCATTCATTTACCGTATTTTTGGTAATTCAAACTTGAATTGAGCATTGAAATTTAAAGTCAAAAATAAAAAAAAATGATATTAAATATAGAATATAAAAAATATGGTGTTAAGGTCGATATCTGCGTGTAAATCGAGAAGTACATTAGGTGTCTATACTCAAATTATTTGGTTATATTAACTATATGTTAAGTTGAAACTATTTCACCAAAGCATTCAATAACTATTATCCAGGCTGGTTGAATATTATCAAATCTTTTTTTCAGTGCAGGAAATCCAAGTAAAGAATTAAGGCATATAAGCACTATTTCGCAAAAGTTTGGAGCACTTTATAATTTGTGTGTATTATACGTGTTCATAAAATAATGATACCTATATCTGTAAAAGCAACATGATTCTGTCGTAAAATTACAGGGCGCTTCAAACTTTTGAACGGTACTGACGCCCGGTGTACGTCGCGGGACGTCCTGCGCGACTCGAATCGGACTCTGTTCGCGGCTACATCCTTGCGTCGTGATTCTACCTCGTAGTATTTACTCACTTTGCTTTCACCGGCTCCATGACGACTCGCGTTCTCCCTTATCCGTGAAATCGAAGCTGCTTCGGCGAGACGCGCGTATTCTATGCGCGGGACCATTTATATCCTCGACAGCGTCGCGACACACTTCGCTCACGTGCAGACGCTCGTTATCCCTGGCGCGGTTGTGCGCACGTGAGCGCGTCACTCTCGCCGGTCACACGTGGGGCGCCGAAATTCGAAAACAATATCCTGAACACTGGACTCTGTTGTTATCGACACTCCGACCGTCACCTCGATATTTCGCGATTGTTGTCACAGCGGATCGCGCGCGCGTGATATCAACCGCGCAAATGTCGGTTCACAAGTGTCGCAAATTCGGCAGTACAGTCGCGCTCATGATACGATCCTCGACCTTCTCGCACGTGTTGTCGCCGACGTAGTGTGTTGTGCGCCGTTCTGCTGGGTCAATGAGAGGCAACCCGCGCTGGGGTTTGTTGCTCTCTGCGCGTTCGTTCCGCTTTCTCCGCGATGACAACGACGACGACGCTGCAACGGCAAAACGTTGCGACGAGAGTCAGTATGAGCAATCGGTCAAGGGACGAAGGTCGTTTTTCCCCGTGTCTTCTTTGTTTTCTAGAGTCACTCGCCGCGAGAGTATGCGCAGCCGAACGTCCGACGAAGTTCTGGTCGAGCCGTTACACAGTGTGTTCTTCAGCGCGCGAGTTGGTAGAGATTTTCAAAATGCGTTCGCACTTGCACATTCTCGTCCGACTCATTCGAGATTTATCGAACATCGACTCTGTTGTGAACAACCTCGGGATCTTCATGAATCTTCAGCTTCGTCGCAAGTGGCTCGACAATTTTCTCCGTAATTTTCCAAGGCGAACCCAATTACAAGAGAGGTTACCGGATCCCCGAGGTACGGTTAGTCGAGCATTTCGTGGTTACTCCACACGTGCTTCTTGAAGGAAAATTCAAAGCTCCGTGGACAGAGTTCAAGAACGGAGATTAATCTAATTGGTTTTTGAATTCTTTTTCGGACGCAGAATCAAATGCTTTAAGGATTATTCACGAATCCCTTCTTCTTCGTCTCGCTCTTGTTTCCTCTTTCTCCTCTCACGATTGCTCCTCAGGATTTCTACTGTGCTTTTCGACCGTGCTGCAGGTGAATTTTTATAGAATCGATCCCTCGTAACATGGCGGTATTCACTGACGGTCCTTTCTTCAGTTTATTCCTTATTCCGCCGAGTATTTCTTATAGTTGCACCGCGAAGAGAGAAACGTTCCCCGAAGCGGCGAAAATTCCTTGAGGGATCAGCAGGATCGTCGAGCTTCTCCGCGTAGTTTCCGCCAATGTTCGGCCGCTTCTCCTGCAATAAAAATCGACCCCTAACAATCGGTCTCCGACCGAGATCGACGACTTAGCCGGCATGAGTCACGCGACCCCATCCCGAAAATTCCACGCCGGCCCGTTCCTTTCGCTCCCGTCGCTCCCGTAGCCACGAACCTCCCCTTCTGGAATGCACTCGAGACGTCTCCCGCGATCGGACTCCCCGACGGAAGAAAGCCACGGCGAAAGAGGGGTCGACGTAGTCGAGATCGCGCACCGCTGGCGCGACTCGCACTCTTTCTCTCTTTCTGCCAGTCTCTTCGGCTTCCCCGCTGGCTGACATCGGATTACATATATCGATTCTAACGAGACGACGACCTTACGCGACGAACGGAACAAAGGCGAGTCGGAGACGCCGACCGCGACGCGACACACCAAGCGAGCGAACATTCCGGGCATTCACGACGGTGGAGGCGGCAGCGGCGGCGGTGGCGGCGGCGACAGAGACGGTGGAGGTGGCTGAACAGAGAAAGCATGTGTCGTGTATTATCGTCGAATGTCGCATTGCAGCCACAACGACGACGACGACGGCGGCGGCGGCAACGGTGGCGATGACGACACACACATGACGATGCCCTCCACATCTGTCGTCGTCTGTCCTCGTCATATATACAGCCGCCGCGTCGTCATCGCTACCGCCGCCGGCCCGACCGACCATTTCTGTTCTCTCTTCTTCTACTTCTTCTGTCGTTTGACATGTGGATGAGATATGCAGGCTTCTGTTCTGTCAGTGTGTCTACAAGCAAGTCCGTGGCTCTTCGCGCAACAGACTGCAAGCGAAGACACGAGATGCGTGAACGAGGCATGAGAGTAAAAAAGGTGCTCGAGAATTGTGTAGTGGAGGTCGAGTCTAGATGACCCCAGGAATATGTTGTTTATGTGCTTTTTGTGAGTATTTTATTATATATATTTTTAATACAAGTCCTTTTAGAAACATAGAGAGATACTTTTCTCTGAATTTTATATATATAAAATCGGAATAGTATTACAATGAAAAAATAGAAAAAATTTATTTAGTAATAGTAAAGTAAACTCTACTCTCTCTCTTTTGAGCTTCTCGAGAAATTTTGTGTTAAGGGGGCAGATCACTGTAGAGGATTAAAAAATCGATTTTTTTACTTCAATTAATAATACTATATGTATAATATATTCCCAAAGTTTGGTTTTGAAATTCAAAATCTAAAGAGTCATACAGGACCATTTCTTATACGCAGGTACGAGCGCGTGAGGCGAGATCTAAGCGCACAGTGACTCGCAGCGGCTTTATTCCGAAAAACCCCTTTGAAAAACCTTTCTAAGAAAGATCTAGAAAAGATCTAGAAAAGGTCTAGAACTTCCTTAGAAAAGTGCTTAGGTGGGTACGCACGAAATGCGAATGAAAGAGTTAATAGTACGATTTGGCGGTTAGCTCCAAAGCATGTACATTCTGACCCAGTGGCGTAGGCAGAAGGGAGGCTGAGGGGGCTGCAGCCCCCCCCAAATTAATTTTTTCAGTTACGCTAAATGTGAGAAAAATTTTTTTGAATGACCTTTTTTTTGCTCGTCAAAAATAAAAAGTACAGGCTCCCAAAACTTTTTTCTAGTTACGCCACTAACTATTCTGACCTTAAAATAATCGAAATCGCCGCCTATATTGTCGCTGGGATATTTAATGAAGACTACTTTGCTGTTTTGAAGATAATGGAAATAATGGAAGATAATTAGAAATTAAAATTGGGCTTCTACGTAAATAACAGGAGCTAAAGTGCAAGCCGTATTGCGCCGACTCTGTCGCGACGCTGAACATTTTTTTGCTACATACAATTTATAAACATTTTTCTTAAATAAAAAATATTTTTTTAATACTTTAATATGCAAGCAAAAACATTACAAAGTTGGGAAGCGATTGGATAAGTACATTCTTCTAAAAAATTCCCGAAAATTCCCTTATTTTTTACATTTTACAGTGATCTTCTCCCTTAGCGATGCATTATTAGCTAGAATAAAGTTTCTTGCAAGTGTATGATATACTATTTCGGATAGTAAAAGTAATTTTTATTAATAAAATTCGTTGAGATCGAGTATGCGGGCGGATAAAGTAAAATTGGCCTATAATTAAGGATAGGTAATAGGACTGTGGAGACCTCTCGCAGAGACTTCGGAACTACTAATCAGGATACATATTTTATATGTAATCTTCTTTTTTTAGCTTGTGCTACTTGGTAACTTAATTTAGTAAGCTAAACATCCGGTAAAGCAAGATAGTCACGATGCTATATGTTTGTTTTGTTTGTATTTTAGTTATTACAAAACAAAATATATAGTTAATGGAATCGTAGCGAGTATTAACACATAGAAGAAAATCGCCTATATCAGTTTGTCCAATCAGATATAAGAATTAGATATTTGAGAAGTTGTAACTACGGAATCCTGAAATATAGGACACCTAACCCTGATCTCCCTTGCACAGGATTACAGGAAAGCGCGGGACTCCAGTGCGGGACATCCACTTTCAAGATCCACTTGAAAACTCTTCTTTCTTTCTATCTAATAAATTCGAATTGAAAGTGCTGGCCGGGCAAAAAAACTGGCCACTTTAATACGCACGCTGCGCATCGCTGACTCGATATGGGAAAAAGTGTGCGAACATGAACATCCACTTTTCCGTACTTTACATACAGCGATTTCGGTCAGGTATGCACTAGAGTGCACTGATACGCACGAATTGATGTAACAACATGTGTACTGCACATGTGAGTATTCGATGTAGTATATGAATATGTGACAATCGGTACGCTGAAGAGAAATATTGACAATAAAATAAAAGTACCAGTGTCTTGTATCTAATTCTTAATATCATGGTCTTTAAATACTGATATTTAAAAGTTCAACACAGAATATATGTATATTTATATATTTAACAGGGTTAAAAATTAAGTTAGGAAGTTAATAATTTTTAACTTAAACTTAGTTACTTTAAAGTACATTAATGTTTATTTATTAATTCTTTTTATACCAGATAAAATAATCCACCAATACTAAAATTATTGCCGAATTCTAACAATATAAAATATGAAAAATTAAGAATAAAAATACTAGTAGAATTATGTTTATATCTCTGTGTGCCAGTATTATTTTTTTGTATGAAATCTTCAGCTGTTAGTATTTTATTTATATAAAAGTTCATTATTTTACATAAGTTTAATATATGATTAAAAAATTAATTATGTAAGAGGCATTTACATCGCTTTGCATAATTAAATTTCAACTTTAGTAATTTAATTTAATTTTAATTTAATGTTTATGGTTGTGTCACAAATTTTATTTCAACATATTTTGCAAGAATTTTTAGCATGCATTTTTTCACTTTATGAACCAAGATATAGAGACGTGACTAAAAAATAGAAAAATAACTTCCAAAATCTAGTTTGATCACCTAAATATGTAATTTAACAAGAATCTTAGTTTTGAGAACTACATATTTATTATATATAATTAAATTATTTTCTAATTATCACAGTACATTTGACTCGCACTATATTTAGCTAAATAATTTAGTGACAGCTATCAAAATTTAATACTTATTCCGATGGTTCCGAAAACCTTCTTTCAATATGCATGATGTTTAAGAGAATTTCTGTCGCGCGCGGTCCAGTGGCCGAGACACTTGTCAGCTATGTTTACGCACTTTAAGTACTTGAGTAAATTTGTATACGATGGGCTTTTAGAACGCATCAGAGAGAGTACTCAGTGCACACTCAATTCTCTAACAGACGCACGATCGATTGATTTACTAATAGATAGAACATTGTATGGAGTTCGAGCAAATTTAGAGAGATGAAAGTAGGTTTGTTTGATCTTCAACGCGCTATCTTCATTTGTTTAACGAAGTCACTCGGCGTCCAAAGACTCTTTTTCTGAAGGTTCTAAATGGGAAGCGCGATAAAAAGAAACAAAAATGAAAATTTAATATGGTTCTGGCGTTATACTCTATAGTCAATCACATATATTTTATATTTTTAATAAAATCATACATTATTTTATATACATTATATTATATTTTTAATAAAATCGTTTAAAGTAACTAAAAAAATAATTTTGCAACAATATTAGTGAGATAAAATTCGTGAATTTTATGATATGTAATCGTCAATACCGTGTCAATACCAAAGAAAAAAGATATGAATATGAAGTATATTCGTTATTGCATTTGATAAACGAACAATTTCATATAATTTGAATAACTTGTATGTATGATGTTGCCATGTTTCAACTCATATATTTCACGATTTCACAAATATTCTTATTGATAAATCTAAATTTCTCTTCGACCTGACAGTGAATTTATGAGATATTTCACTAAAATATGTTTTTTAAATGTTCATTTTATTATTACGGCCGTTTTTAAATTTTTGAATTTCGGAAAACGTTAATAAAAAAGTGCGCTTCTCACAGAGAAACAATTTATACGGTCGAATATTTTGCGTATTAAACAATATCGTCCATTAGCGACGCGCATGTGTTCTTTAAGGACGCATGTCCGCGCGTCGCTAACGAACGAAAATTCAAATCAGGCCTTGACTGACGCTTATAAGAATCCCATTTCTATCGGGAACGAAGCGCCATACCCCATGAGCAGCAGTGTAAATTGGATTTTTCAACGAGCCAGGTACGAAGAATCGCGCCTCGCTTGGCACTTACGCAACTCGCGTAAACTGCACCGCACATATCGCGCGACACGGACCGTTTGTTTTGCCCGCTTTCGCCGTGGAGGTCGTGAGATATCCGCCAACTTGTCGGGAAGAGATTACGCGAGGGAACTTTCGTCGACCTTCCCAATGAAAGAGACGTCATTGTTCTCCCTATCGCCTTCCACTTCCATTATTTTCTCCATCGGGATATCCGAGCCTACGGCCCTGCGAACCCACGTCGCTGCTACCGCATCACAGGTAGAGAAATTCAAGGGGCACGGAATGCAGTCGCATTTCTGAAACTACCAAAACCGCGAGAAAATCCCGCGAGCGTCTTTGTCCGCGTACCTGGGTACCCGGCTGATGAGCTGGGTATCTTCTCGCGTCAGTCAGGATCGGAGCATCGAACAGGTTTCTCGCGGTGCTCGTCCTGCCGCTGGAGATCCGCTCCAATATCCCCGAAGCCGAGAGCGGGTCCACGGTGACTCGTGGTCGACCCAGTGACGAGCCACACTGCGGTGTTTATGACACTACGCGGATAATGACACGCGAGAGTACCCGTTGGGAGGAAGTCTCCGTTTCTCTCACTCACTCACTCCCTCACTCACTCTCTTGCCCTCTCTTTTTATCCCTTTGTCAGTCACTCGCGCTCTCCTCTCTTCGCCTCCCACGCCAGCTCTACAGAACCAGAACGAACGAAGGAGAGAAAGAGAGAGAATTCGGCCGCGATTTAGCCGCGGGTTCACCGGCGCTCGCAGGATGGCACGCACCAACTGCCGAAGAGGAAGTGCAAGCGACGTGTGTGCCCGACTTGTGGCGAGTCGGCCTCTACTGCCCTCCAGCACCTGGAACCCAGCCTGACGCTGCTTGGCCGAGTACAATGCCTCCTATATCGGGTGTCCTTCTTTAAACGCCGCCTACCTCCGTCCTCAGCTATCCCCTTCAAGCCGACACGAGCCTCTCTCTCGCTTTTACGAGGACACTCTCCGCTCTCCTAGCCAGGTAGTACCCAGTGACTCTCATCTTGTCCCGGTGAACGGTGCCGATTACGCCGCCAGGTGTGAGCGTAATCGTCTGTGAATCGAGCGAACTCGATGATCTTCGGGCCGCTTAAGAATTCGCCAAAGTTTTTGTTTAACTACAAGTTATTGATCATTCCTGACACGCGCGATGGAAGAATATTATTTATTAACGAGTGGAATTAAGGGCGGCACGTCGCAATTACGGTTAGCTGCCTTTTTCCAACATTTATTAATTCTCATACGTTGCACGACGGTTCAGGCGTTTCCTGGTTTGCGAACTTTGCTGCGGAACGCGATATTAACCTTGATACAATACATATTTGTCCGATATTTTAATTTAGCTGACGTCGTTTTCATTCTCACTTATTTAAGTTACGTAAAAGCGCTAGTAAAAATCGATGAAAAATTATGTATATACTTTTAAGGTTGTAGAATAGAATTATAATAAAGAAATTATTGCAAATATTAACGTATTTCATTTTGTTGCAAATAAAAAGAGAAACACAAGAAAAACATGAGTTTTAAAAATTTATAACTTTTCTGAAAATAAATTTGAGAAATATATTAATCTAAGATTCTCCTATCAATACTTCAGCTTTTGAGAAAAAAAAATATTACATATTTCAGTTTGTCAAAAAGTATAATTATTTGAATATACAAAAATACATCATTTCTTTTTCAGTCGAGAAGTGAATAAAATAATAGTTTTAAGTTTTTGTGATATTAATATATTATATATAACGTAGATTTTACAAAAATTGTTACAAAGAACTATACTTAAGTTATTTTCTTTTATTCGTGACTAATTTGATGGTACGAGAGAAACTGTGATTACATATCCAAAAATAAATAAATTACTATTTTTATTTAATGTAAAGAACCAAAACAAGAAATCATTTTTATTTTATATTTCGGCGCTTTAAAGATCCTGAGTATTCGCCATATTGGATTGTGACGTCAAGAAATGACATTTGTATGAAGGAACATTTTAAATCACTTGAGTATATTTGTAAAATATTCTAGAAACTATTTTTTTCTATTGATAATCAATAAATAACCGTAAATGAACACGGAAAAGTCATTAGGAAAGATATGTTAAAGAGAAAAGATGCATATCACATTAATTTTACGGTTATTTATTGACTGTCATGGGAAAAGAATAGTTTTCGGTGCATTTTGCAAATATGCCTAAGTGATCAGAATGTTTCTTTCATACAAATATCTTTTTATGTGGAAATAGCACGTAAGACTTTTGGACATGCACTGTGCGCTTCTGACATCATCAGTTCAGAGTCCTGTGACGAGTACTTAGCCTTAATGTGGCACACTCGGTTCAGAAACTACCTTAAAGCAACTTTGCTTTTACTTATATGATACGTAATTGAAGTGGCTTAACCGTATTTAAAGTTAATATTTTCCCCGACTATATAACTTTTTTAGTACGGAAAGTAAAAGTTCCCTCAGTCTACTAGATTGCGGGAAATTACAAATTAAAAATTAGTTGAAGTTGAAAATGATCTCAGAGAGCTAGCTTGCAAGATTTGCCGCATGGAAGATCATCCTTTTTCTACTAGTATGCCTTGATATAAATGCGCATACTGCCATCTGAAAGCTCAGAACGAGCATAGTAAAGAGCTTTGAGGCTAACAATGTTTTACACACTTACGCGTTATTTTACATTATAACTCTATTTTCAACTCGTCGGTCGTATCACCGGCTTCGAAAATATCACGACGTCGCAAAAGCTATGGGAATCTTTTACGGAGCGAACGTTTGGGATGAGTTTGAACGAACTTATGCAAAAATGTACAAAAGATGTGCTTGATCTTCGATGAAATATTCATTCGCGAGGTTCCTGAATTATCGACGAAGTCAACAAACGTGTGTTGCATTGGAACATTTCGAAAAGAGAACAAAAGCAGCGCGAAGAGCGCTTTGAAGATTTTGTTGTTGATGAAAGCAAACGCGCCAAGAATAACAAAGTGGCAAATATGTTTCGGCTATGAGCCTGGTTAGCAATGGACATAAAAAGCTGCGTTAACTCGAAAGCCGGACATTGTAGTCCAGCCGGCTGCATGGTATTGATCCCGCAAGTTGCGCCCTTTTCATCGCGAAACATCGTTGCTGAAGTGGACAAAGGCGGCCACGGCAAGCGCACGGTTCCTTGATCGATGCGGAATGAATTAATTTTAGACCAAAGGAGTCCGGGGTTCAGCTGCCGTGTTGCCGTGAGGTATCCGACACACGTCAAACATGGAAACCGGTACATCCATTTAATATAGCTCCCCGCTTTATAGATATACAAAAACGTCTAATAATTAGATATTACGCTTAAACCGTATTAATCATTCGTATAGCCTTCAAAGACTACTCAAAACAATTTTTTTATCAGAATCGGTGAGAATCAAAGTACGTGATGTCTCCCTCTTATCAGACTTGATCTCAGAAATTAGATGACAATTTTTCATTTGAATCTCAGTTACAGATATAAATGTCACATATATCATAATTCAACTGAAAAACTTGAATCTAACTCGGAAAAGAAATTGGAGGCTCATATTAATAGTTATTACTTAAACTTAGAGTCTTAAGTAAGATACATAGAATTAAATAAGAGTTTTTCAGTAAATGCAGTTAATGCAGCTTTTCAGTTGAATCTCAATTACAGATAAAATCGCTTGTATCATAATTCAACCGAAAAACCTTGAATCTAATTTGGAATAAAAATCTGGATATCTCGCAAGCGTGAAGCAAATTTCAAATATCAATGTTTAATACGTATTTTATTCTCAGAGTATAATTAATGTATATTGTTATGTCCTCATTTTCTTACGCCAAGTCGATGTCGGTGTATTCTATTTGGGATTCTTTATTTCTTTGCGAACCCACATTTGAATATGCATAACAATATTTATGCTTATTGAATGCGCACTTAAATATACGCGGCGACATGGAGACGTGCGATTTTTTACAAAGTAACACTAATCGACCAGACTGATTAAAATTCCGGTGCGTAGATTGTCGCATGAAATTTCAATAATTCCTACAATTCCATTTGCGCCCCACTTTGGCAGTGTTTTCCCTATTGTAGTGATAAATTCCAGACGCGACGGCCTTGGCTCCGCCGTCGGCGAGCTGGCGTTTCGCGTATCGAATTTTCACGAGGGTGGCCATCGAACACGGACTCTTATGGATCACACTCATAATTCAAGAGGCTGGCGGCGGCCGACGGTATTTTTTATTTAGGATCTCGCTGCGGAATAACGAGATCGTCCTCCCGCGAGAGAAAAGAAGAAAAGCTGGACGAGAACGTGGGGCAGAACGCGGTAATGAGCAGGAGGCTAAAGGGCTGCAGAAACGTTTTGCACAACGCGCAGAGCCACTTTTCTGCGGCAACTATGTATGCCATTCTTCTGATGGAATAATCCGAGAAAATTCGCCGTCGAGGGCGAATAAAAATCACTCGAACACGCCGAGCACTACAAAATCCTTACTAGAGACTGCATTGTATTTTATTACGGCAAACAATGCTCGGACTTAAAACGCCGGCTAATCCGGTAATTACTCGAGAATAAGTTTTAGCCTAAGGCGAACCAGTCCATTTAGGACTGCCACGTATTATATAAGTATAATATAGTAATATTTCTTGAGGCGCCTTTTTTTGAGCCACTACTACTCGCTGCCCTTAGTCAATTAAAGCTAATCTAACCTAATCTAACTGCTAAGAAAATACTGAACGTTTGTTCAGTCATGTATTGTCGACATTATCATCGATGTCAACTCGTAAAAATGTACTGAAAGAAATTATCCGATAAAAAATTAACAAACGGATATTTCCGATCATAATGGCATTTCGTCAGTTAAACAGATAAAAAAATTATGAACCCATTGTTCTTATCGGATATTTTCTGATCGGATATGAAAATTCATTGGCATTTTGATCGGAATATTCGTTTGTTAACTTCTTATTGAATAATTTCTCTCAGTGTAAAAATGAAAATTCCAATATCTCAAGAATGAAAACGTTTCCACAAGCTCAAATTATATATCTCCTCGCATTGATTAGTCTACCACGAGATAAAAATGGATTTTGAAAAATTAGCAAAAACCCCTACGCGAGGCGAACTTCTTATGAAGTTAAAAACTAATCTTTCCGTACAAGTCGCCCAAAAATTCTTTTAGAAATATATATCTCATATGCGCCATTAAATATTTTCCTTATTCAATCATAAAAATAATCTTTCTATAGTTTACTTTATTAAAATTGTCTTGTGCACTAAATTATCTTCCTTTAAAGATAAATAAAATAATAATCTTTTATGTCGGATTTCTGAATATCAATGAAACTTGCCGAATTTTATTAAACCGATCCATTATCTTTGTGGAACACGGTAGTCGTGCGAAAGCAATGAACGTCTTATTAAGATCATAATTTAGAGACGATTGCTCGGAAATAAAGGGACATATATAAGGGAGAAGAGTGTTGATATAGTGCCGTGTCCAACATAGTCCGATGCTGTAGACGCCACACACTTGAAGCAGATGGCACAATGTCGGCGGTGACATTAAAAAAACAGCTTGTCCGTCCGTCCGTCCGTCTCCCTTCGCGACGCGATGAATACAGCTGCGCTTGCAGCTCAACTCAAATGACCCAGAATAATATCATGTTGTATACAACAGGGCTAGATAAATTTTAGGTAGAAGGACCTAAGTAAATAGCAGTCTTTCAAGCCATTCAAGGACGTCGTATAAAAAATCCGAACAATTGGTATCTTTTCTTATTCTATGCTTCCTCTTCGTATACAATTTTCTCGTAAGTTCATTGTACCTTCTATTCTCGTGAAGAGTAAGTAATTTATATAAAACGCCATGTGTGTGTTATGTTTATATTTCATTTGTTTGTTATGTTTATATTTCACAGCTCATTCCTCCTCTCTTCCACATCGTTCTGAATTTGAATTACTGACGGAAATAGAATTTCTAGTTCTTACATCCAAACTTGATCAAGTTATGAACTAAAAATTCTAAGAGAAACAGCATTTCTAATTCTTGAAATAAAAAATTTAATGAAATTATGTACCAGGAAATTTTCAAGGAAGATTTTTCCCAGATTTTTCTGATTCTTATAAGTCAAATTCGGTCATGAGAATCAGAAATTCTATTTCCTCCAATCAAAAGAGGCGTTTGGTTTGTTTGTCAGATTACTTTAACCAAAACCTTTTCTCAAAACGCGTATAAAGTGCTGTCTGAATATTCATCTCACATTTTACCTTATCGCTCGCGCCTCCTTTGCATCGTATCTTTTCAGAGTCTGAGCACGACACGCCAATTACACGGAATATCGTCCGCTCCGAGAATATTTATCTTGCATCTCGTTCTCTACGCCCCCTCTCGCGACACGTCTTCTTCTCATACATCATCTCTTCGAAGAAAAAGAATATCATCCCTCTTTTCTCTCGCGGCTTCGTCGCTCCTCGTCCCCCGTCGGTCCTCGAGCCTCGCAAAGTTTAATCGCGCAAAACGCCGGCCACTCCGATGCTTCACCCTACTTCCACCCTCCAGCGACGTATTTTCTTACGCCCTCCCTCGGTCGCACAAAGCTGTTCTATACCACGCGTTTCCCTCGTTTCTATCCTGGCGTCGTCCCCGCGCACCGCGTAGTCCAGGTAGGACTCCTCTCACGCACATGGCACGCGCTCCGCGAAACTCTTCCGGGCGCAGACGCGACGACACGCGCCGGCCGCCTCGCGCTTGCGATTCAGCCAGCGGCAGCCGCGACGCCGTCGAAGCCGGCAGTCGGGGAACACGTCGATTCTCCACGACACTCGTGCGCCGACCGCGACCACAACCACGACCGCGGGCTGCTCCGAATTCTCGGTCTCGAAGAACGTGCGATCCTTCCGTAAATCGGACCGGTGAAAGTCTTTTTCTCTCTCTCTCTTTCTCTCTTCCTGTCTTTCCTTAGTGATAACTACGGGTGCTGCATCCCCGAGTATGTCTAGGAAGTTACGACGACGAAGGCGATCCTGCAGCTGACTCGTCGACGGCGCCGACGTTGTTCGATATCGATATATACGTGGACAGGGAGATGTTCCGTCGCCGCGTTTCCGCTCGTTCGTGCTGCCTACGCGATCGTTAACACGACCAAAGCTGGAAATTGATCGATCGATGCTGAAGGAAACGTTAGTACACACGCTGTTGGAAATGTCGTCGATGTTGTGCGTCGCTACTTCGAAATCAAGTTCCATGCAAGGCTTCTCGCTTGATGTTGTTGGATTGTTGTCTTTTTTTCTTCCCCTTCCCTCTTCTTTCTCTCTCTCTCAGTTTGCTCAATTTCCACTTCTATAAAAAATTTAGACTCTTTATATACATTTAAAAAACTTTATAATTTACTTTATAATTTCGCGGAAGCACTACTTTTAACTAACTCAAATTTACGTATTCACTCTCCTTTTTTCTATTTTTTAATTGCCTTGTGTGTATATTGCTTGCCTTACTGTTTGTTCGCTATTACTTAATTGCGTTTGAGGAAAAATTTCCTAAAGTACATGATAAATCTATGTATTTCTCTCTCTCTCTCTCTGCGTTTAGAATATCGGTTGTTTTCATTCCGACGTTATTATTTTTTATGATGTTCTAATTGTTATTTTGAACAACGACGCGAAATTATTTTAATATACGTGGATATCTTCCTGAATTATTCGCCACCGTAATTCTAACCTGTCTTTTCTGTATAATTAAAGAGCAAGAGAGAGAGAGAAAGAGAAAGAGACTCTCTATGTTTGGTTTCGAACTGCATGGAGTTTATTTATACGAGTCGCACGATTGTCAAACGGCATTAATGCGTTTAGGAAATAACCCCATGACTTCGCTACACGTGTCAAATTGAAGGGGTGGTGATCGAAAGTTCGATTACCGTTTCGTCTAGGGGTGTCGTGTCGATGTCTCGACGCTGCTGTGTCTCACATAAAAACTATTATTAATATTATAACTTACACACGTTAGCAATAATTTTTCCGAAGAGTCTTCGCGTTTATATGTTAATACTTCTTTATGTGCACGTATGAGTGCGACGTATTTGATGAGTTGATGTTTGCGTAGTGAGAATTTAATGAGAAATTACAGTGTCGTTATATCTTAATTTCTGACTGTTTATATTTTGGCGCTTAAATTTTCTAATTAAATATCCGTTGAAGTTTCTGCTCAAACCAAATCAAATAATAATATTTCGTCGCCCATTTATCGCTTCAGAGCTTAATATTACTGAAATTTCATCTCTCGTGGTTTCAAATAACCCCGATAATTTGAGCTCAAATAGTCGTTAAGGAAATGTCAACTCCAGATATGACAAAGGAACCGTTATCGTTATAGTTGTAACCAAGCAGGGTAACAGATGTGTATATTTGAACAGTGTGTTCGTTTACTATCACGTTTAACGTCGAATTACGCGTTGACGCCAGTGTCGAAGGATGAAATCGCGCGACGTTATATTTGCGAAAGCACGAGAAGTCGGCAAAGTGCCGATGTCATCGCTGTCAAACGAAAAAGTAAATTTCAAGAAAGTTAATTAAATAAAGATTTAAGGGAATGCAAAAGTAAATGATAAATTCCAAAAATAACGTGAAGACGATCAACAAAAGATGTCAGATAAACACTAATAAGATCACGCTTCACTATAAAACACGCTTGTCGTGTTTCTTCTAGATCTTATATGAACGTGTTCTGCTTTGTTTCACTATATTTTTAGCAGAAAATATAACCACATATATGTGTAAAAATCTTTCTACAAACTTCTCGTGTAGTTCTACGCTTCTAAAATTATTTGTAAAAATACATCAATGTACTTTGAAATTTTCCTGAGCAAAACAACTACACGATATGTATTTTACTAGCTGTAGAATTTTGAAATTTTTTTATCAGTTTCGTCACATAATGATCAACGTTCTAATTCGTTTTTTCACGTAGCTTTATTGCGTAAAAGCATTTGTAATTCTGTATAATCAATACGAACGATGAAACTTAGTATTTTATCGGTAAAGTTTTCAAGTATGGACATCCCTTTGATCCCTCGACGTGATAAATAAACCTGTAGCAGCGGAAGAAACACGATATGACGTACTTAGAGACACATCCTCGATAATCCTTTGATTATATACATAGGAAAATACATACTGCATTCAAGTAGATGTTACTGGTTCAAAAAATATTTCATAGGTTTATATATCCACGAATCTATCAAGAATTTACAAACATGAAATTGATTCAAGAGACGCTCTGAATCCTAATAGATCTAACATTTCATTCAAAAATATTAAACTAAAACAAGAACTAGATTTGCTTACTTACATAGAAACAAACTTCTTCTCTTCGATAAAATTTCATGATATTCTTGTAAAGAGAATAAATTCTTTTAAATATATGATAAAAAATAAGCTTTTCTAAAATTTGTGACGTAAGAGTATATTTTAAGATTATTATACATAATCGCTTTTCTTAGTAATAGAATATAATATTTTTCTCCATGTACATAAGCTATCTTTTATTATACATAACTTTAACAATCTTGGATTATATACAATACATATTCGATAACATTTCATTATTCGCAATCTCATCTTTAATATGTTTGACAATCTCTTATAATAATCACCATAGCGGTGAATACCCCTTCAAATAACAAAGCCGATATACTTTCACAGCGCGACACGATTCTATTCGGTTTTGATATAGCGCAATTGTAATTGTCGGGATTATCTCGATGTAGAAGTCGCGTGCTCTTGTTGTTTACAACTACACAAACATCCTGTCCGTTAGCTTCGTTCATGGATTTCGATGTTTGTACGTGCAAGTTGCACGAAGGTCGAAAGTGTGTGTTCTAGTTCTCTCTTTTCCTCTTTCTCTCTATTTTCCTCTCTTTCTCTCGCGCGCGCGCGCGAAAGTTACATCGCTGGTTCACAGTCGCGAAATTCGCAAAGTATCCTAGACAAGATCTCGTCCAATACAAGACTGAAAACATTTCCAAAGATCGCACGCTAGATGCGTGCTCGACCTTGTATACTTCGCGGTGTGTGTGTGTGTAAAATGAAAATTTGCAAGTATAGTGAGATTCTGGCGAGGCCAAGACTGTGAGGAAAGGAGAAAATAGGATTTTTGGCCCACAAACGGAGTTGAATAGAACAAATAATAAATGAAAGTTTATATCGAGAAGATGTATCAAACTTATGACTATCTGTCTTATGAAGTTCTTGTTTTAAGATATCAGCATTTAAAGTTGAATATTTAAAGTTGGTAAATTACTTTAGTGAAAGGATCAATACAATCGTCTTTTCTTATGTGTCATACTCCTTCTAATTTATCTTATATATCTAGTTTTATTATTTTAGAATTGATTTTCGCTGCTTTTTATAAAAAAGAACAACTTTATTGAAAAACACACACTTTTCGATTTTGCACTTTTTGGATACCATATACTGATTCCCAAAGCTCGCTTTGGGATTGGAGTCGCATATTTTTATTTTCAGACTAACCTTTGTTCAAAAACATTTTAATGTCATTCAACTTCGTTGTAAAAACGTTGCCACACTGTGGTCACATTCTTTCATATATTTCGCTTCCCACGCGCTTATTTCATTATTTTTGGAGTCAAAGTATCTTTTTCTATTGTCTGCATTCTATATCTATACTAACTAATTAACTAATATTTTCTTGGTCTCCAGAAAATTTTCGGAGAATAGCACACTTGTTTATCCGCTCGGACTTATTCCGAAGTTGTTTCCGACCGTTGGAATCCAATGTCTACTGCGTAGTACACCGTATAATTAAATTCGGTAACGGCTACTTTCGCGCGCGCCGTCCAGGCGAGTTTATTATGGAATCCGTATGGACGCGCAAATCGGATTTGTGTGTCGGTCGCGGGTTGAAACTTTGCGAAACTTTATTAAAGCGTTCGCGCAATCGGCCGTTGAGGTGAATAAATTTTCCAGCTCGCGAAATATTTCTTTACTCTGCCCATTCAGACGATGTACTAGTGCGCTAATAGAGTTTATACACTTTTACATCTGCAGGCGTTTTTCACAAAAGCGCGTGTCGAACCCTTTGCAAATTTCCCGTCGCGGAAAAATAGACCGTTCGAGTCGTTCGTACGAAGATCAAAGGCCGCGCGTGTTTTTGTAGATTTTATACACGTTTTAATATACTTTGAAATAATTTGCCTTAGCCCAACTGAGCGCAAACTATTTGCGAAAACGCGCGCTTTCAAATTAAAAAATGGTAGAGAAAAAAATATTATTTCCGAATTTTAAACGTTCATGAATTTTTATTATATTTGCTGAACGACACTGCGTATTCCGAAATGTTTATCTACCACATATTTGGAAATTGCACAACTAGTAAGAGACGCAGAATTCTTAAGAAGATTTTAACGTTTAACTCAATAAAGGATAATACGTGTATGATATAAAAGTTGGAAAGATTAACTTTGCCGACGCAAAATGGTTTTTAAAAAAGAGGATTTTAAATGTAGAAAATAATAGTAAAAAAATCGCTACAATTGTTTATTCTTTATATTTACAAAAGAAGTAATGTAATAAGAAGCAATGTAATAATGTTATGTGTTATATTCCGACTTGTAACATATCTGTTATCGACGTTTATTTATGTTTATGTATAGTGATTATAATGTCATGGATTTTTTGTTTATTTTTGTTTGCGATTCCCAATACGTACTTTGCCTAGGAGTCTTGCTAATCTTTTCTATTATTTTTTATATTTCGTAGACTCTTGCGCACATTTTAATTTAGTAAGGCAAAAAATTAATAAATATTATCCCAATCTATATCTTATTACGCTATAAAGTTGTATACTTATGCATGTTATATATCATAGTCTTAATTTAATAAGGCAAAGATTTAATAAAGATATTTAATACCTATATTTATTACTTATAGAAACAAGGAATTACACTTTTCATATACATATAACAAACCTTATACATCAATGTTAACTGGTATGTTTTTTAAACATTTTTGTTAACAACTTTTCAATAAACAGCTCAGGTTAAAACTTTTTGAAGTTTTTACTTTGCCACTTTTAAAATATTTGATAACTTTTAAAATAAAAAAATTTATCACATATTGTAATATTTATTAATTTTATCCTACGAATGCTGTTGTAAAATTACTTTTTAATCATTTTGAACGGTTATTACTAAAATTCTTACTAACTAGAGAATAGCACTAATATTTCCTTAAATATTCTTTCGCTTCTTTTTCCATAACTATAGAGTGAGTATTTTAATTCTTTGCGTTGCACATTCTTTCTATCTGACAAATTTCTGTGAAATTTTGCATTTCTATGTTTTTTGGACCGCTGATTACAAATCTGAAATCAAATTTCAAATTTTAAAGTGGCAGATCAAATATGGCTGTCATAGAGATAAATTAGTGTAAGTGAAAAAATGTAAATCGCGATATAAAGGTATTTCAAATCGTTAGTTACGAAATCGTTAGATACGAAACGATACGAAAATATTTTCATGTTAGATTTACAAAATTCAAAATAGTGAATCCAATATGGCCATCATACAGGAATAAAACCATAATCAAATCTATCAGAAATATATTGCAGATAATATACCTTGAAAAGTGAAACTTTTTATGTATAAAACATGTTTGTCAACTCTACAGAATATCGATAAATTTAATCATTTTTATCTGCGTAATAAACAAAATAATTTGTTTATAAAAAAAGTCCAACGTAAAAAAATTCTGCAAAAAATATATATTATATTTTGATACGTAAAGAATATCCAGTAAAATTTTCACCCTTTAATCTTAAATTAATTAAAATTTCATTTCCTAGAAATTAAATTTCTTAATCACTTTTTCAACTTTATTTCTTTACAAATAATTAAAAATGTACAATCGTGTGTAAGAAGTATGGAAAACATGTAAAATAAGTATTAAGAAAAATGTAAGATCATACTTCTTTTCATTAAACTGCAAACAGTATGTCATAAAAATTAAAGAGAAAAAGATGATAAGTATATTTATCACTGCTACAAAGAGTTATGATATCTTCGATATGTGTCACGTTACATCAAATCTTACGATATTTTGTTAGAATACATCGCGACTGTATTTCTTCTATTGATTATATAACACAGTAAATCGAGTATGATCGATGAGTGAATTCGTGTCTTGACGAATGTGTATTTTGTGCTGACATCGCGAACGGGAACGTCGCGATAATGTAGTAGCGCCGGAAAAGATTCATCAGCTGTACATTTATTTGACATTTATTCGACCTTGGTGTTATCGATGATAAGAAAATTCCGTCATATAGACAAAGTTTCCTAACAATAATGGAAATTTTCCTCCGTCCGTTCTCACTCAGAGTCCATGGAAAAACTTTCCGCGACCTTTCACGGGAGCGCACTAAATGTTGGACCATTTCTCTCGAACAAAGCAACCAACTTTTTTCGATGCTTGTGTAAATTGCTCGCTACGCTAAACACATTAAGGTAATTAGTCCTAATTTCGGGTCAAACTTGGTTCATTAATGTATTGTAACAAATATATATAATAGAAGCACACGGGAAAAAATTGTTTAATGTTCTTTAATTCTTCTACAATGTAATATTCTAAGATTATATCCTCAAGTATTTAATATAATTAATATTTATATTATAATAATTGAAGAAAAATATCAAGAACTTTATTTGCTTTATCAATTCTTTAGAACTATAAGATTATTGGTAGGTTGTGTTTATATATTCTAAATAAAAAAAGTCTCTTATATCTTTTATATAAACTACCATTATACTATATAGACTAAAACAATATGAATTACGAACATTATTGATATAAAAATGGATATTGTCTAGTTTATTATAGAGGCGCGAAATAATTTGCTGATTGAGATTCATAAACGTTTCCAATTATTTTTTAAACTTAGAATTTATTAATATGAAGTCCAGTAATTTTGTTTTAAAACTATTATATTTGTTATTCCTTGTTGTTTAAAAATTCTTTTTAATGTTCGATGGATAAATTTATATAAATGTATGAAAATTAATCTAACCTTAAATAATCCATAATTGAAATCGTTATCGGGGGAGAAAAGGTCATATGAATTTTGTTTCTTTTCGTGATCATATATAATCATGCATATGTCCACAACGGAAAAGTTTTAACCAGTAGAAAACAAAGCAGCTTCTCTTAACACTGTAAACAACATGGAACTAAAGCCAGACTCCTCTAGCGGTCGATAAGAACTCTAATGGTTATATTTACTTCAGTTACCAATCGCAGCAGTTGTTTGAGAAATCGGCCTTGCTTCACATTATTACCTTCTCCCTTACGGAGAGAGAGAATACATAAATTACGTGTATAAATGGAAGACACGAACACAACAATTATGTATATAAATTGAAGATAAAATATGCTCTTTTATTTACGTAAATATAACATAAACATATAAATCTACCTATATTATTTCATCGTCGCGACGTATTATAAATTTCCAAGCTTAGGATTCGTTATATTGTTATTACACGGTGCGATATTTCTCACGGCCTGATACAAATAAAGAGAACGAGAGAGAGCGCATTAAAATCGCGTTTAATTATCTTCCACTGTACACGACCACGGAACGTTGTCGAGATAAATAAATAAAATGAGAAACGAGAGCGCGAGATTGAGACGAAAGGCCGGTTCTATAAGAGCTATTACAAAGCTCCATCGTGTGATTCCTATTCTGCCGATGCATTATGTCACGAGGAAGTTATTTCATGAGACATACTTAAGTGGCTCTGATGCGCCGAGCAATATGAAATGCTCTGACACGAGTGCGACACGAAGCGTCGAGCATGACACCAAGACGAATGTATGCAGCAACGTGATATGAGATGCACCATGTTTCCTCTTACCTATCCGATATCTGGTCTGACGATAAATTTAATGTCGTCGGACTCGTCGTTAAATTCAACGCACGCGCCGGTCACGAATGCGCTCAATTGCGTGTTCCTTCTCATGCCACAGCTTCGACGGTTTTGACTTTTTTGCGACGAATATTTTACAATAAATTTCCAATTAAAATTGGAAGATAATCGATAATTCCACAGGCGCTGATCTTGTAACAAAATTTAGTAATTCACACTACTAAAACTGACGAGAATGAGAAGATAATTAATAATTACGCAGGCATGTAAAAGCCATGTTCTATTCTTCTAGCGGTATTTAGTAACTCGAAGTAAACTCGAATTAAATTGCTAAATTTTATTATAAAAACAGCTATAATTTTATTATAAGAACTTTTATTTGCCTATATAATTATCGATTATCTTCTCATTCTGATTTGTGGATATCACGAGAGCTTTCGCTGTCATATTATGTCATTATATTTCCATTCTCTCCGCCTCCCCCCTCCCCCTCTCTCTCTCTCTCTCTCTTTCTCTCTTTTGCCTCCTCCTCTATATTATATGATCAATATATTTTTCGTCATTTTTCTCCTGCCTTCTGATTTCATCCAGCCAGATAAAATCAGTCAGGATTCATGCCCTGCATTTACAATTGTACAATTTCCATAATACACGTACGTACTTAATTAATGCGGTTCGTAATTTACAATTTTGCATGAAACGATAATTATTAGAAGGATAATCGTATATCTCATTTTTGCCGCTCTCATACCGAAGTTTATCGTGGGCGTAAAAAGTTTTTCCGATACTGCCGGCTCCCGCACACGTGTACGCGTACGCACAGGATGGAGCTTTCATTCGCGGTTGATCGCATTGTTCAATTGTCGAGCGATATCGCCGGTTAAAATAATCAGCCGCGTCTGTTCAATCGAACCGAAGGGTAATGAAGCGCGATTCGACAACCACGGTTATAATTGGGTTAAAGGCGAAGGCCTCATAATCAGGCACACGTCCGAATGCAACGGTGCGGTAATATGCTACCTTCCTGCTTGCATGATATGTTGTGTCGAGTCTGTACGTGCGTGTACGTGTGTCTGCGCGCATATTGTGCGAGCGTGAGTGTGCGAGAATGCGAGTGAATGAGTGTCGTGTGTGTTGTGCGTTCGATGCGAGGATCTCGATCCGGCTCCTGCAATTCGAGTGGCAGCTATGCATCAGCTGTCGTGTTTGCTGCGCCCACACTAACTAATCAACGACGTTAATTGGTACCGATGTCGTGCGCGCACGCACACACACACACACACACACAGCTCCATACGCAGGGTCCAGTTCACTCAGCGTCTGTGTAGATCGCTTACAGAAATCCGTCCATTAATACAATGTTACGAGACTGGTAGTCAGTTATGTTTTTGAGATGGAGGAACGAGCGATTGTTTGCGCGTTTCATCGAAGCTCTAAGCCGATTTCGCTTCGTCCCCAAAATTCCTGCACAAGTACTACTCCCCATTGTCACGCTCGATGAGCTTGATTTCAGTAAAACTGGATTTCGAAAAACTAGCCGCGCTACATTGTTGCCATATGTGATGCATTTCTTTTTTCGTACGTATACTTTAAATGTCCGGGTTCTCGCGAGATCAGTTCTGTGTGCGTGCCGTTTTTCGCATTAAAATATTTTGAACGGACGTCACAATCACATCTCTTTTGTTCTCCTCGATTGTCAGACAGCACTATAACGGATATAACAGAGTGATTTTTGAACGGACGTAAAAAGATTTTGTGAGTGACGTAATCACTAACGTGGCAACACAAAATTTCTATAAAGAAATTTCTATAAAGGTTCTTTGTCCGTTATCTCGAAGTATAGTACAATTTATCCCGCGATAGAATTTTATTACGCGCACGGAGAAAACTACTGCGGTTGCTACATCCATATATTCTGTGGTTAGAGAGAAAGGAGTATGGCGATATTTATTTAGGCACAACCATTCTCGGCGAAATCCTCCAAAAACATAATCTGAACTTAACTGTGAGGAAATGTAGCAATAACAATCCAAAAGAGTTTGAGTGTATTATTCATGGGCATGTATATAACAGCAACTTTTGCCATATCTATTTCACTCCTCAAAAACATAATCTGAGCTTAAATATGACACGTAGCAATAAAAATCCGGACTTTTTAGTATATCCTGGTCAAAATTAGAAAAAGTATTTCCGAGCTACAAGAATTAATTGAACTAGTTTGATTAAAATAGAAAATATTTGTTGAAATAGAAAAAGAAGAAATAGAAGAAGAGATACATGTAGCTAACAAGCTAGCAAAACAAACACTGTGATTGAGAGATCCGTAGAGTTTGGTTGCACCATACAGCAATATACTACTCAAATCCATATAAATAGGCAATAAAAAATGCACCACTTCTAGAGTACTATAGACACTACAACCATCTTGAATGCATGGGCGAAAAATACATTAATATTTTGTAATAGCAACCATATTTGAACAAGTGATATCCTGAGTGTTTTCTCCGTGTGATCCATTAGTTTTGAAAACATACAGTTTATAACGGATATGTGTTTAAGTAGTATATTGCTTTATGGTGCAACCAAACTCTACGGATGTTTGTTTTGCTAGCTTGTTAGCTACATGTATCTCTTCTTATTTTTTTCTTTTTCTATTTCAACAAATATTTTCTATTTTAATCAAACTAGTTCAATTAATTCTTGTGGCTCGGAAATACTTTTTCTAGTTTTGACCAGGATATACTAAAAAGTCCGGAGTTTTATTGCTACGTGTCCTCACATTTAAGCTCAGATTATGTTTTTGAGAAGTGAAATAGATATGGCAAAAGTTGCTGTTATATACATGCCCATGAATAATACACTCAAACTTTTGGATTGTTAGTTCAAAATAAAAAATCATAGATATCCGTTCTCGCTAAAGTTTTCTGAAGACACACGTCTACCGATCCAAAACTCCTAACATCGACGATTCCTTATGCCATTCATCGCCTACGGCACAGTGGACGCTAATAACGGGCATCTCGGTTTCAGCCGAGACCAATTAACGCTTAATGAAGAATAATCATCCCCCCGGCGCATCCGTTACAGAGATCTCTCGTCGTGCTGGTCGCGGGTCTCATCGGGACGATGCGTCGCGAGTAGCGGCTGGTCTGCATTGTCGCACAAGGAATCATCGGCAACGGTGTCCGCAATTAATCCGCGCGTTAACGCGAGCCCCTAATTAAGCCGCTCGAATCTGCAGGCGGCGGGCAACTAATTAATCACCACCACCGTCACCACCGCCGTCGTCGTCGTCGCCTCGATCAGCCTTATCGACCGGCGACCTTATCCGGCGAGAAGAGCTACTCGACGTCGTGCATAGATATAGGGCCACGGTCACCGCGAGGAATGCCTCCGTTTGTACACGCGCCCCGATAAGACGGGAAAAGAGCAGTCCGAGGTCGCGCGACGAGGAGTCGCGGCGCCGCGACGATGCGGAAATATGAGACTTCCCAAGGACGAATCCTACCGTCGTCGTCCTCGCCGTCGTCGTGGCCGACGCTGCATCGCCGATGCAACTTACACCGGCCGTCGACGCCCACGTCCGACGTTCATTGAGGAAAAATGGGTGCCAATCAGTCGACCCGAAGTGCTCCCACTCCCGGAGAAGAAGGTAAACGATCCGGCTTACGTCGCGAAGCAAACTCGCCTTGATTTCGCTTCTTTTGTTTTTCCTTTTTCTTGCCTTCTTCTTGCCTTCCTCTTTCGTCGTTTTCTTCCTTTTTCTCATGAATTTTTTTATGAGACGGAACACGTTACGCGGGATGAGCGCGGAACTAATTGGCGATCGATTCCGGCTACTACAATGAGGTTACGTCTGCTATTTTAGAAAATATGGGAACAATGAGGCTACGCGATGTCAAGCGCAATCGACAAGATAATAATGATTGCCTAGACGAGCGTATCTTTAATATTTTAGGAATTTCGTCAGAAAGAAAGAAAAAGAGAGGCTATTATCTTCGCAGATCTTTTAGATACAATACAGTCGATGGTGAACTTGACGAAATGTTAACGCAAAATATAATTCCAGTCTCTCACTTCCTTTTCTCTTTGTATCGCAGTAAATTATGGAATGCAATCGAGCTATCTGGGTATAACAGCTGTGTAAATTCAATTATGCCACTTAATGTATTTATGAAGTTGTACACGCTAATTAAAGTACTATAGTGATTGACTCGGAATACGATTGAGGCATCAAAAGCGTATAATATGATTATACGCATCGTATAACAGGTAACAATGAAACGCAGGTGCTGAATTGCCGCGGAATTTACTTATCACTCAGTTACCGCTAGCTTTGCGAAACGCGTATTAATAGAGACGCTGAGGCGATTTATATCGACGCACCCTTGGTACCGCATAATTCGCGTAACTCGAATTCTCATTCAGCTGGAATGACGGATATGCATCGACAACGTTTCACAGGATCACCTTATTCTATCGCGTTTATAGCTCGCTGCAGCTGCAACGAGCTTCCGCGATATCGCGCCGTGCAACGACGACGTCACGTGGAAGTTTTAGTTCGTCCCCCCTCCTCCCCTGGTTCGATTACGTAGTCGAGCCGTTGCTGTCGGAGCTATTAATAAATAGTCTCCATCACACAGCTATGCATCGGTGATCCTACGAACGTTCAATTTAGTTCGAGATAAAAAGTCCCCCAGTTGAATTTTGCTGGAATTGATTTCCTGGTAAAGAACGCTGTCCTCCTTCTTCGATTCTTTCACTAGTTTGTTTTCTCACGTCACTCTCGTATGACACATTGGAAACGTAGGTTTCAATTTTTCATTCTTAGAACTCCACATGATTTCTAAGAACCAATTCCACTTTCTTTAAGAGCCACGACAAGACAAAGTCTCTAATTTTATTAAATTCATTAAAGTACAATCTTAAATTTATTAAAGCAATCCATAAGATTCAATATATAAGAATTTGGAGCCAAAATGGCGTTGAAAAGTATACATAGTACACACTTTTATAATGTATATTAAATATAATTTATTTAAGATACCTAAGATCTGTTGTGTGTAATCTGAGAAATGTTTGTGACAAAGATAAAACACGAAGAATGATTAAAATTAATCGGGAAAAACACATTGTCAGCAAGGGCTGTAATTTATTAGGTGGTTAGGATAGTTAATAAGTTAATAATTGTGTGTGAAATATATGTATATTGCAATAATAATTACATAAGTTTTATAGATGCACTTTGATGCATAGATGCACTTCGTTTCCTGACTAAAATACAAAGAGAATTACCTTTCTGTATAAAAAGAAAAATTATTAACTCTGTATTAAAAAAGTTAAGTCTCTATTTAAAAAGTTTGACAATTGTGTTTAAATAATTTTAAGAAACTTGATATTTCTTTTGTAATACTGGCGATCTGCCCTTTTTATTGCTTCATCATATGTAATGTTCCTCCTCCCGTGATTTTCAAAAGTTAGATTTTATTTTCCTTAAAGAATAATAAAACAACACATGTTTAATCTGATGAAACAAGTAGTATTTGAATAGAAAATCATGTTGCTTGAATCCAACAAAAAATCCAAGTCAAACAAATACGAATGCTAAACCCAAAGAAACTATTCTCTCTGTTCTCTCTCATACCATAAATATTCCGCAATATTATATAAGTTAAATCTGAAATAATCTCATAATATCATTTCTATATTTATTTCTATATTTATTATTCATTGTAACATAATATATCGTTTATACATTTCCAATTCAAGTAGAATAAAATTGATTATTTATTAAATACAAATATAATTTATATTTCTTCTCTTACTATTGGTAATAACATCAAGTAAGTGTTCCACAAACTTTTATTTTGTCACTTTTAAAATATTTAATAAAAAGTGATTGCTACGAGTATCCAAGAGTGTTGGCGCGATAAAGTTACGAAATAAACTCGGCGTCTCATAACACCGAAGTAGCAAGTTGAACGTCTTTCTCACGGAAGACGATCGTCGATAGGTCAGTCGGTTATTATTGGCACGATGTTGCTACGTCTGAAAAGTAAAATATCCAGAACGAAGTCGCAGTAAAAGAAGTATATTTCCACTGCGTTTAATTTCATCGTTGCAAGGACACTTGCGACTCCTACACGCAGCTCCGCTTCGGAGACAATCAAGATCGAAATCCTAACACTGCTAATGTGCTTCGTCGATTACGTGGTTTGGCTATTTCGGGAAGAAGGGGGAAACTACGTGCTCGTACAATATAAACTGTGCGTCTCTGTATATCTTTCACGATCAATCTCTCCCGAACTGACTAATTTCTTGTTGTACTCCGCGCTTCATGTTAATCCCGTATAAATCCTGAACGGGATTATGCGGATTTTCGCTAAATTGCGGTTATCGCGAGCAAGTTCGACCGATTGTCAGCATCGTTTGCAAATTGTCATTGTTTTATTTCAGTATCGCTTGAATTATTTGCGGTTGACACAAAAGATATTATTTCTTTTCCTATTTTTTATATTCTTTTCTCTGTTTCTTTCATCATAACTTACTCTATATTCATATTATTGTGTCATCTTTATTTTATTGTGTTTCAATGTGCTAAAGGGATTACTTCCTGTAAACAAATTGAATAAATAAATAAATAATTAAATAAAAAGAATAAATATCGACAGGGCTTGGAAATGAACTTGTTGACACGCGTCAACACCGAAAAGTCAATTTCGATCGATTAAAATTAGTGTCGAATCGAACACACGCAACAATAAACGTGAAAGAGCATTTTAGCGCTCCATTGCTCGTTCGTACAGTTAATTTCTATCACGCTTCATCAACCGGGAAGTTAATATGTTACTCGCCCACTGTTAAATCTATATGACCCCAGAGGGTAGATTTAATTAAATCACGTTTCTGTTACAGTGAATTTCGATCATTTTCAAATTCTACGTGCTATTGGGAAAGGCAGCTTCGGTAAGGTACGTGGCAAATTAATTTTGCTATTGAATTACGTTGGAAGAGAGCGTATATTGTATGCGAGTCAGTCACTCTAGGGACTTTCGTCTACAAACCCGACGACCTCTTAACACACCTATGATTTGGCATGCCATTTTTGCATTTTCCGAGCAGTTCCCAAGAGATTCGAGTCGGTATATCCGGTCCTATCCCAGCGATGTTTTCATGCAGATGGAGCGCACGCTGCAGCTTCCTGCATCGTGTACGTGTGCATGTGTGCGCGTTATCGCGTGTTTTGTGAACGTACCGAACCATGTCGTAATTTATGGTAATTTGTGCCGTCTTTCAACCGAGAGTGGGAAAGATGAAATTGAAAATTGACATTCACAGATTTTTACAGAGTTGCCATATCGAAGTTCAGAGTAGAAAAATGGCAAAATAGAAAAATGGCTTTTAGAAAGTTACTTTTGAAGAAATTGATTATCATTTATTATAGGAAAATTATATTATTATTATAAATTATAAATTATATATTATTTTTACTACATTATTTTTACTACATAATATTGTATATAATGTAGATCAGAGTCAAGTTTTGATTTTAATTGTATTTGTGATCAACACCATAAAATTCATTAGAATTGACAGCTTATGTTTAGGGTAAAATTTTTGTGTTGACCAATGTAATTGAACACAAATAAAAAAATTTAGTTTTCTGTTCTTGAATACTTTTATATCGCCCAGTTTTTTTTCTTCCTCCTATGAGTTCTTTCGAGCTAAGTTTTATTATACATAATTCGGCGAAATTAAATTTTGAAGTCGTCGCGGAACATTTCATTAAAGCGCTCTTGATTAATACCTTTTTACCCACTAATTAAAAGAAATGATGGTGGCTTGATGAACGCGTAAACGTATTGTCCGCGGAATATTTACGGTATGACCGACAACAAGTGCGCGTCTTCACGAGAACGCAACGAAGATTGTATTTACGCCGCTATAAAATATCGTTACGGTCCTCGTAAAGGGAAAAAAAAAATGTCGTCGCTCTTATATTTGTCGAGTAACGTCGCTCCGCAAATTTCCAACCTCGTTTCCTCACTTTTATGACAGCCCGCGTGATACCGCCGCCGGCACCCGTAAATAAACGCTAGAATGGGAATCAAATTTTTATGACAAAACGCGATCGTTTACAATTCAAAAGCGCTTTCAATCGCGCATTCCAATATTTTTATGGGAAAAAAGAAAACTGCAAACTGTCTTTTTCTCTCGTTTTCTCGTATGTTCAAATAATGCCGAGCAATTGGAGAGACGCATACAATGATCCAGATTAACACATTAAGTGATCTCTTAACACGAAAAAAAGAAATTTTGAATTCATTATTTAAAATATTTGTATTACTTTTTACATTATTGTGTAGACATTCCAAAATATTATAAATTGCAAAATTTTAGGAATAATATTAATCTATAATGCCGTACATTGTAAGAAAATTTTGTTTCTATTCTCGAGCATTAAGATACGCTAACAATCAATGCCGTTTATTACCCGTCATTGGTTGCTATGTACATAAGATATTATTAGTTTATAAACTTATTGATGTGGCGGAACAATTTTCTAACATAATATTGAATTCTTAATACGATACTTCGGTTCTTATAACTTTGGGAATTTTATAATTTTATTTAAAAAATGCAAACGTTCGCAGATATTGAAATCATGTTATATTTAATTAATAATTATTAAGGAATTTACGTTATAACAATCAAGAATACGTGTATGTGCGCGGTTTACATAGTTTTTATGATTCTCTTAGGAATATCAGTTTGGTATTCTGTAACAAATATAATATACTATACTATAACTAATATACTAATATACTATACTATAATATACTAATATTTAGTATATTTATTGCTTCTGTAATGATACAAATATAAAATTTTAAAGAGAACGCTTGCAGACTTGCAAAAATGCATTTATGCAAAGAACAATATGAAAAAAATTTACTTAATCTAACTAAATTAACCTAACTAAAAATTTAACTAACTAACTTAATTTACTAACTAATCTAACCTAACTCCTATCAAGTTATATAATATACTTGTTATTTACTTACATATTCTAATTATTAACATTTAACACCGTATTTTGATAGTTACAAAACAAAAAGATAATGCAAAATAATGTTAGCAAATACTTTTAATTATTTTATATTAAAAAGTGGAAATGGATTACTGTACCACGTTAAACTAGTTAAAGTAAATATCGATATTGCAATTTATGCATCAAATATTTCGGGGCAACAAATAAAAACGGTTTCTATCGTATCGCATGTACCAAAAAAAAACGAGTTAAATATTTTCGCGATATTCAGTTTGTTGATTTGAAAACGACGCTCGAACGACCAAATAGTTCTAACGTCGTAGGGTACGATCCAGCGCGTGAAATTCAATTCCTGCGGAAATTTGTATTTTCAGGTCTGCATCGTGCAGAAACGCGACAGTACCGGGAATATGTACGCCATGAAGTATGTACATAAAAACGAGTGCGTAGAACGGGGCGCCCTGAAGAACGTTGCGAGGGAAGTGGAGATCCTGTCGAAGTTGGAACATCCTTGCCTGGTGAACTTATGGTTCAGTTTCCAAGGTAAGCTGCTTCCTTGTGCAGTATCGATCATCCGAGTCATTCTTTCAAGTCTCGAGTAGAAACATGTGAGACATGTGCGAATGTCTCGAAGTGTTCTGCGCATTTTTCAAAACAATTCCTCTTGGAATTTTGCAACCGATCCTCTCATAGAAAGTACATATTCTCTTAAAGTGACTGAGTACTAATGCCTCTATCTGAATCAGCAAAAAGAGCATTACACACAGCATTTATACTAAAAACTAAACAACTAAACTATACGAAGTACATGAGCCTAAAAAAATATACAGAATTCATGTCATATGCATGAGATGACTGTTACATTTGATTAGTTGAATTTTCAATAATATTTACATATGTTATATACATATACGAAATTTAAAATGTCACTTTTATAGACACATGTGTAGATAATGGCCATATTACATAACGTTTATATTTTCCATACCATTTTACTCATTACTCGGATACTTATCTGTACGGAGAAAACTACTATACTAATCTCTTATTGGTCTTCTTATATAATATTGGCTATTACGATTTTTCCAAACTCTTACATTCTTTTAAGTACAGCTTTAGCTCGAAAACGATGTCTCTATGTTTTCGAGAAGAAATTGATTCCACATTGTCGTTGAAATTCTATTGTTTTTGAACACGCGGATATACATCGATATCGAGAAGATCTGTTTACTTTTTAACTGTCCTGAAAATTGCGACATCAAAGACCGCAAAGAAGCAATTAAATTAGCGGCCATGTCGGCGCCATTACCGATTTTCAATAAGAGCAATTAAAGAATTTACCTTATCATACCAAACTTCTCATCTACGCCATTAGCTGAGAAATGTAATTTTGGTATACATTCAATTAGTTAATCCTTTTCTTTAACCTACGTAACCTAAAAACAAGCACTGCAGAATGCAATCTGCACAAATTTTCACGAATACCGAAATTGCGATATTCCGCTGCATTAAGTGTATATAATTACTGCATTGTAATTAATTGTGATTACCGCAATGATTAACGTGGTGTATAATTGTTTCATAAATTTAAGCTCGCGAGTAAACGGGCGTAAAAATTAACAGCGTTCGCATTCCGCGTGTATTGCACGTAGGTATGTCTGCAAAAAGAAAGAGAGTTAGGTAACGGCGATTCCTCGATCGCTTTTCGATTGATTTCCATTCCACATCATAACCTCGCTCGTTGCTGCCGGAGATAACTGAAATTAAATATCCTTGTAATTAAATTCCAAATTAAATTCCCGTCGAAATCCGCTCGTGCCTTTGTTATCAATCTTGCGTCCTTAGTGCTTTATTTTTCAGCCTCGTTTTGTTGACGCGATAATAATATCCACTAGTATAATTTTATTGCAAATCATGTTAACGTGACATACAATTTATCATTTACCTTTTTTGTTTTCACCTTTTTTGTTTTCACCTTTTTTGTTTTCACCTTTTTTGTTTTCAGCGGATTATTCCGCTATCTTTCAGCCCGCGCATTAATTCCCGCAGCCGATATACTTTTCTTTCGTTTGTTTTCCTGAGAGCAAGCAAGGTCGCTCGCTAAATTACGAAAGCGCGAAGTCACACTCCCGGTATTACTCTTGGAAAGCCGTAAACGAAATGTCTCTTTTTCGGGCTTTATCTGCGACTGGCGGACGCGCATTTAACCGATTACGCTTATCTCGCGACAGCACACGGGGCTTTATTGAAAGAAGTCGAGTTCTTTTCGCGATGCTCGAAATAGGTCCGGCGTAAATATTTATGCAAAAACGAGCAGCACGAAGCTCGTAACCGCCACAAGAGCTTTAAAAAGCTCGAATAGCTCTCGAATATTAAATATTTTAGATGAGACGAAAGTCGCGGTTTGCAGCGAAAAGGTTGCTCCACATCGAAAAACATTCTTTTTCTTTTTTTAATTACTGTCAACATCGGGCACTCTTGATAATTAAGTCGCGAAGTAATTCGCGGGTGACACGGAAATACTCAACAGACTCGCTAGAAATCGTGAGCGGACACATTAACAGACCAGTGAACGGCAGATTATAATTTGCGCGCTTAAGGTTCTTGAATTGTCACTGCAGCCATATTGATGATGTCAGAAGCGACTGATGATGTCAAAATTCCTGCAAACTACGGTTAAAGAAAAAAATACATCATTCAAGTGACCCTTGCGATATATTCTGTGAAATGTTCCGGACACTCTTTTGCATTAAATATCACCATAAGCATAATGTCCAGAACAACAGTTGATGTCTGTTATATTATAGTTAAAAACGTTGACCTAATGCACTCCACATTTGTATGTTTTGCTCTATATTCTAAACACTTTTATCGATAAAAGTATTTCTAAAAATGGTTTATAAGCTTTCTGATTAGCTACAAGCCACTTTTAGAGGCACTTTTATCGATAAAAAAGAGCTCAGAATCTGAGCATATGTTTTTAGCTAGGTTAGTAACAATCTAAAGTGAGACAGCCTTGCCGCCAAACTTATGTATCCTTTTTCTTTGGAATGGATCTGTTTAACTTCAATTAGCGCCACTTTCTACACTTCCACATAAAAGAAATGCAATATATGCAACTAAGTCGAGTAAATCATAGCTAATGGTTCTCTAGCATGTATATAGCTCACCAACTCTCTCTCTCTCTCTCTCTCTCTCTCTCTCTCTCTCTCTCTCTTAT